AAGCGGCTAATAGGCCTAGGCGTAATAGTCCTGTTATAAAACCCGTTGCAAGAAAGACTATACGGCCGTCTGTATCTATTCTCGTTATATTTTCTCGCCCCAACAAGAACAATGTAAAAATCAAGCTTTTCCCATAGAATGGTCAAAACATTCTTTCCAAGGAGTAAATCTTTTACTGCTATCTCTTGCTCGCGTTTGACAATCAGTTCGCGTTTCGACTTTCGAAAAGCGTTCAGTTTTACAACACCTATTAAATTAAAGCGAACGCATGCATCATTAAGAGGCTGTCCACGTAACAACGGATAAGGCAAAATTTGGCCGAACGCCGATTTTCACAATTTTCTCAGTAGAAGTCAGCCAGTATATACAACAAACAAATACCACATTTATTTGGGTTAATAACGATTTATACGTACTTTACAAGAGACGGTTTTCGATGACCCCTCAAAAACTAGCAAATTGACTGTCGGGAAAGCTGTGTTTAAGCTATACATATCGGGCGCCACCGAAAGTTTATTTCTTTCTTAACTCAGCTGAAAATTTTACACGTCAATTTTATAACTTTAAGTTATAATTTAACCATAACATTTTATAAAATTTTCACTGAGATATAATAATTTAAGAATATAATACTAAAATTCCGAAACGCGTTTGGCGCTAAAGTATACCTACAATCAAAGGCGATTTTCTCAAAAGTGGGACCTAACCTGGAATTATTCCTAATATTGCTCAAATGTAGTAAGACTAGCTTACATACTTATGAAATAAAACTTGTGGGCATTCTTGTTTACGCGCCGTACAAGAAGTCCGCAATTCATAAACTTTCGACAGTTCGTGCGTGCATGCACCGCCAATAATTGCCAATGCAATGAAACAAGATCAAGACAGTTTGGGACGAAAACGTACTGAATATATCAGACAAGTCATTAAATACCAGTTAGTTTTGTTTAAGTAATAATGCTCAGTGATTTTAAACACTTTAAGCCATTCTTGATTACGCGCCGTAGCCTACAACTATAATAAGTCCGCAATGCATGGAATTTCGTCAGTTTGAGTTTAAGGTGCTCTCCACAGTTTATCAGTAAAGATCTCCGATTTAGACCCAATTTTTTGACAATACCTATTTGTTAAAAGGCAAAGAAATCCCGTCATTCCGTCGAAAAATAATAACTACAGAGTTGGATTTTTTCGAAAAAAAAAAAGAATCGCAACTGCCGTTGTTTTGGCAACAATGAGTTCAATATGGCCGATATTTTGAGTTTAAAGTTATTTAATTTGAAAATAAGGTTGGTTACCCCCATTTTTTATTTCATAAAAAGAATTCGTTTAGTATTTATTTATTTATTTATTTAATTTATTTAATTTATTTAATTTATTTAATTTATTTAATTTATTTAATTTATTTAATTTACCCAAAAACAGGAAGGGCGCACACACAGAGCCGAAGCTCCAATAACAGGTTCCCCGCGTGAGTTGTAAAATACATAGAAATATTGTATACAAGAGTTAAACACTAAATACTGCATCACAACAAAAACAACAAAAAGTCATCACATAATATAAAGAAAGGGCACTAGCAGCACAGAGTGTCACTGAGTGAATCGAAAGGACGGGCTTTGTGACATTTGACACAAACAGTCTTGTATGTGTGCGGCAATTCTGGGTTATAAACATTAGAAGTTAATTAATAAGAAATAGTAACTAAATAGACAACGTTTAAATTAAACGAAGACAATAAAATTAAGTTTCTTAAAGATATTGGTAGAGTGTTCCACGTTCTGCATGCTCTGATATAAAAACTGTTTTGAAAGGTTACTGTTTTTGATTTGGTAATCTGAAGAAGGAGTCCTGATGTAGAACTAGAGCGTCTGGTTACACGATTTGGTGAATTTAGTTTCACATTTTTGTCGGAATTTTCATAAATGCATTTGAATAGATAAACAAGATCCAGGTATTCAT